CGTATACCCATTTCTTTAAAACTTTTAACTTGTACCCACTTTTTAAACAACTTCAGCCCCATTTCTTCTCATCCTTCTCCCAGTGATCTCCATATCTCTCCGGAACTTAACATTGATGTAACAATATCTCTCCTTCTGTGGCTTCACTCAATTCCTCAGAAGCCATCTTACTATATATTCTAGTAGCGTTATTGTACTAATATTTACTAAACTATCAGCATATGAAGAAAATTAAACATTATATTTGTCATCCCACAACGATATAAAAGCAGGAGATGATGATGAAGCCAAATTTACTCTTATACAACAACTCCTCTTCTGAGTTCGATCTCGTCTTCAAATGTTTTCTTCAATATGTTTAATTTGTTTGGTGTTTGTGATGACTGATGGCGCTTTAGATGTTTGGAAAAGAACGTACAGATCAGAACATTATTGATAGCTAAATCTATATCCTCTTTTGAACCTGCTTGTTTTATCAAGTCTGAGCTTTTGGTTCAAAAATGAATATTGTCGAACTGAAAATATTTCTCATACCTTTTTTCAAAAAAAAAAAAACAATTGTAGTAAGTGTTGACTAAATATTTCTTCTGATACAAATACAAATGCATTAATATAAAGAATAGCTTCATTCCAGATCAGAAATTGTATAAACCAAGAGATTCGACAGTTACACATAAAAACTTCAGGTATAGAGCTGAAGTTCGACAGTTACAAAACAAAAACTTCAGCTCTAGAGCTGAAGCTTACAAACAAAAACTTCAGCTCTAGAGCTGAAGCTTACAAACAAAAACTTCAGCTCTAGAGTTGAAGCTTACAAACAAAAACTTCAACTCTAGAGCGGAAGTTTGCCAGTTACAAACAAAAACTTCAGATTTAGAGCTGAAGTTCGACAGTTACAAAACAAAAACTTCAGCTCTAGAGCTGAACTTCAAGCCCGACTAATAGAAAGCTCAAGTTTTGCGTGATTCTCTTTGCTACTTCAGCCTCGTATGCTGAAGTTATGCGAAAAAGCGGGTACGCTTACAATTTTTTTTTGCAAAGCGGGCACAAGTTAAAACGTGACACAAAAAGTGGGTATAGATGCAAATGCCCCCAATAAGAATTAGTACTATTTCAGTTGTGTTTGGACACTGTTGAATTACTAGTACTCTTGTTGCTCTTGCTACAATTAGACTCTGAAAAAAGACATTGATCTCTTGATTATAGTTTGGCAGGAAACCAAAAAATTGTTACTTATGTTCCTGTTAACTGCTATTTCCAGCGAATTGGAGACGAAATGTTTGTGGAGTTGTAGTATCAATATTTGAGATTGCACATGTCTTGAATTTGTCAAAATGAAGCATGCTTCAAATATTAGTTGTGGTCATAACGCAGAAATGGGTAGTATGTTATATGCGAATTCTTCTCTTTTTTGCTTAACTCTAGTGAATTGTCTTTTTTTTTTCCTTAACTCTATATTGAGTTATCTTATCGGGTAAACCGATAACCGAACCGATAATGGTCAATAACCAATTAACCGATAACTAATAACCGATATCTTATCAATTCGGTTATCGGTTTATCATATTTGTAAATCGATAACCGATATGCTACCGATAATATTCACAGCCGAATCGAACCGACCGATGCCCACCCCTACACACAAGGGTCTATTGTACGCAGCCTTACCCTGCATTTTTGCAAGAGGTTGTTTCCACGACTTGAACCAGTGACCTCCTGGTCACATGACAACAATTTTAACAGTTACGCCAAGGCCCCCTCCTTTTTTTGTGATTCAAAAATTATTGGTCCGATTAATCTGGTTTCGCGAGTAGATTCCTTATTAAGAAATTTTTCATTTCCAAATGTGAACTATTAAGGAGGGAGGGATCTTAATTATTCTGTCCCATCCCCTTAGTGGTGATCAAATTTGTTCTTGTATTATCCAATGTTGAATAGCTTTGCTCTCCATTAAACATTTGGTCAAAATTAAGCCATCATTAGAAAAAGTCAACCTTTTTGCTCTTGTTGTTCTCTAACAAGTTTCAACTTGAGGGTAATTCTAAACTATAGTAATTAATAGTTGATGGGTAAATTTGAGTTTTGTATTTTTCTCGAAAATTTAGATATGTGCAGTCCACCTATTTCACGCACTGAGCTCTGTTAATGATAAGGGCAAATAATTTAGTAATGACAATAGCGTATATGAAATGTAACGAATGACAAAACTAATCAATTTCGAATAATACATGCATAATTTTGGATTTTTTTCATTTTACTATATAAAGGATTTTAAGGTATTGGTAATACTTTTTGCATTATGTGGATTTAATATGTGATAACATGTTAGTCACTATTTAGACTAATTTTCCAATTAATGATTATTATAAAGATTTACTAATAAATAATTTATCATTCAATTGATTATGTAAATAATTATTTTGCCATCAACATATAGAGTTTAAGCTTTTTTATAATTTCTATATTCCAATACAGAATGTAACTTAATTTCTTTAAAGTCTATTTACTCAATTAGTATATATTAACTCGTTGGTAGATAGCTAATTCAAAATACCGTAGACGATATATGTTGTTCTATCTTAAATGACTTGTAAAGAAAATTTCATTTGTACTAATTGCTACAAAGTGAAACTCTTCGCCAAAGTGCGTATATATATATATATATATATATANTTTGTTGTCTTGAGCCGAGGGTTTCCGGGAAACAGCCTCCCTGCCCCTCTGGGTAGGGGTAAGGTCTTCGTACATATTACCCTCCCCAGACTCCACTTGTGAGATTATACTGGGTTGTTGTTGTTGTTATTGTTGTGCTACGTTTAGCCATGGGCAGCTTTAGGGGACGGAAAGAGCTCATTCGAATTCGCTTCGAAAAAGTTATTGTATATAAGATTAAATTTCTTTTATGTATATATTATATGTTGAATTTTCTTAGTTCTTCCCTATTTATTTTTTATTTTGTATTTCCTCGGAGAAAATTCGGTCTTTATTTAGCTACTAAAATGACGTGTACATCACCCTCGCACCCACACAAAAATATAGAACAAAACATAGCACGTGGACGTTCAAATTTCAAACCCTACGATGCTTTTCTAAAATAAGTAGGTTCACATAAATTGGAACGAAGGAGTAGTTGTTGTGAGTACTTTTTTTCTGTTTCATAAATTTGTCAGATTTTTAATCTGTATAGATCTTGAAATGCTGCTCTGATTTTATGAAATAATAACATAATATTATTTATAAATATTTTGGAAATGAATAAAATATATAGACTGGTAAATTAAATCTTATAACATGGGACAATCGAGTAGTTGAGGAGCCATAAGCTCTATTAATACCTTGGTATTAAAGTAGCAATATCACTTTGCTAAAAAGTTCATAATATTCTGATAAAAAATATCAGAATATTATATAATATAATACTATACTTCGCCATTTCACATTCATTCTAAAATTTTGTACACTTTGACAGGTTAATCAGAAAAGCCCAATTCTCAATTTATATTAATCATTTTTATTGACAATGAAAAGTATAGTAGAAGATTCCTACTTTATCCAAGTGACATATATATANTGGATAAGTATTGTGATTAAGGGTCGTTTGGTAGGGTGTATAAGAATAGTGCGGAATAAGGTATATTAACAATGCATGGGTTAGTAATGCAAGCATTAGTTATGCAAATATTATTTCTTATCTATTGTTTGGTGTGGTGTATTAAAATTATAATGCATCGCATAATTTTTAAGAAAAATAGTTGCTTACAAAAATGTCCTCCATATTCTCTAGCTTTAAGGGACTTTAAGGACAATTTTGTCTTTAATCATGCTAATGCATGCATTAAAGCCTTGGTATTACTAATGCCATGGTTTTCTATACATTACTTATGCATAGGATAATGCCAAGTATAATGTATAACTAATACAAGTAAAAGTTATATACAAGTTGAAAAAAGTACCAAACAAGGTATTAGTAATGCATAGAACTAATGCTTGCACTATTTTTTCTAATACCTCCTACCAAACGACCCCTAAGTCACTTAATAAGACAAGAGTCTGAAAATTGAAATAAAAATCGTCTAGTGATTCTCTAATGCTTCTACTTATATAGATGGAGTCCAGTACGCTACCATACAAAACAACAACAATCCAGTGTAATATCACAAGTGGGGTCTGAGGAGAGTAGTGTGTACGTAAACCTTACCCTTATCCCTTGGGGGTAGAGACAGTTTCCGATAGACACTCGGCTCAACAACAACAACAACCCAATGTAATCCCATAAATAGAGTCTGGGGATGATAGTGTGTACGCAGATCTTACCCCTACTCTGGAGGATAGATAGACTGTTTCCAATAGACACTCGGCTCAAAAAGATGAAAAGAGACAATAGAATCCAATGGGCTATTATACAACAACAACAACGACCCAGTGTAATATCACAAGTGGGATATGGGGAGAGTAGTGTGTACGCAGATCTTACACCCACCCTAGACCTGGAGGGTAGAGAGACGGTAATCTGATAGACTTTCGGCTCAACAATAACAATCCAGTGTAATCCCACAAGTAGGGTCTGGGGAGAATAGTGTGTACGCAGACCTTACCCGTACCTGGAGGATAGAGAAATTGTTTCTGATAGACTCTCGGTTCAAGAAGATGAAAAAGACAATAGAATCAAGTAAATAGCTTAAAATTCTCACGCGGGAGTACCCATCTTATCTGAATATAGATTATGAATGCATGTATTAAAAGAAACTTCCAAGTTACTCTGTTTAAAAGTTCACAAGAAGATTAACAGGTAGAGTAAATAATGAGAGAATTCATCTGCTTGAATTAACGCCAAATTGAAAATGCATGTTAATTAATCAGTTTCTATCAACCTAAAAGGGCAGTACGGTGCATTAAGCTTTCGCTCTTGTGTTTTTACGGCTTGAGCTTGTGATCTCATAGTCATATGGAAGCAACGTTACCTCTTATGCCAATACTCCCTTTCTTCCAACTCTAACAACCTATTGAAGATCACCAATCGAAAAATCACAAATTGGACCACCATGACTCTGTCGAAGTTGTGATGTTAGAGCCCAGTCACGACCACTATAAACCGAAATGGTATCGTTCATTGACGAGAACAATTGCCCCTCATGAAATGCCAGTTTGGGATAGCAAGGCCTATTATCCACAGCAGTAATTGGTGTGCAACTTTCTTTCCATTGTACACTTCTAGTAGCAGCAACAACAACAACAACAACAACAACAACCCAGTATAATCCCACTTAGTGGGGTCTGGGGAGGGTAGTGTGTACGCAGACCTTACCCCTACCCTAGGGTAGAGAGACTGTTTCCAAATAGACCCCCGACATCCTTCCCTCCAAGAACTTCCCACCTTGCTCTTGGGGAGACTCGAACTCACAACCTCTCGGTTGGAAGTGGGGGTTGCTTACCATCAGAGCAACTTCTAGTAGTAGCAGTATTCCTCAAATCAATGAAACGCAAACATCCTTTATCATCTACTACACAAATGGAGTTACTATTCTTTATAACTATCACATCTACAAATTTCTGTAGTTGGCGACTAACGAGATACTGGTTTCTTTCTTCCCAAGCAGAACCATTCCACGACGAAACCAATGCCTTCTCCCTAATATCGAACAAGACGATGCAACAGTTTTGATTCAATGGATACGTAGTAGCGATCATCAAACAGTTGGTATCATACCATTGCAGCTTGCTAACATCACCAAGCGTTCGCGCATCTATGTTGTTCATTAGCTCCCCCGTGACGTAGTCCCAAACACCAATCCTACACCCATTGCTACTGCTTTTACAATTGGAGGATAACTTGTTATCAGAGCTAAAACATAGTGTACCTGCTGTGTAATCCTTTAATTGATTTGTAAACTGGTGTTTATAGCTCAGCTTCCCTGTAGATACGTTGAATAACCCTATGCCTCCAATATCTGACTTTCTATCAAAACTAGCTACAATATTTTCAGAATCAACCCAACAGACATCATTCACACGACGATAATCAAGATTGATTGTAGGGTGCTCTTGAAGCATCCAGTCGTAGACGCGAACCACGCTACCCTGAGCCACACAGCACCAGCCATTTGAGCTAGCTCGAATGGCCTGAGTAGTGCCCGCACCATCCCCTACTGGCCGGCCTGTTATGGACTGTGCCAACCGAAGCCTATTGCCATCAAACGGATCGCACTCAGCAGACCGAACATGATCCAAGAGACCATAATATAGAGCCTCTCTGTATAGGAATTTCTTATCGATTTTGGGAGGAATATAGAGCTCACCTGTTCTGAGTAAGTTAAGAATGACGGCAAAATAATCAGGGTCTCTATCAATGAAGTATTCATTGGTTGTGGCATTAGAATGCAGGTTCCAATTCTCATCAAACATGGCTCCAAAGAATGAATTCCTACCAGCGGAAGCTAAGGTTGTGGCCGTAGTTTCGAATATTCTGCCACCAACATTAAGTTTCACCCTGTCTTTTTGGTTTTCCATGTCGAAGCCAACTTACGGGTTCAGACCGAACTTAATAGCTTTTGCTCAAACAGTAAATCTAGAACTCAGTAATTAATACTTGAAGTCGTGGTTAAAAAATTCAAAACTCATAAAGTTGAAATTTTGGCTTTATAACGATGAGATGTTTTTATAGGTGTGATTTTGTATGAAATTACAAGTAGGTTTCTGAAAAAGAACTTAAAACCCTTCAATTTTCGCAAAGAATTTATTTTTACCTATTCCAAGTAGTTTTCTAAAATAGAACTTGAATAGGACTAGAAACATTCCTAAAATAGAACAATTTTCTAAATTCCTATCAATAAATCACTTGCCATAAATATTTATTGGCTGTGCCACATTACGATAATTATTTAATTAGTAGTGCCGTTTAAATCTTAGGCTTTCTAGCTACCAAATAGTATATTTGGCATAATCGCTCTATACCAAGGATTTTTTCATATTCAGAGTTCGAACCCGAGACCTCTGGTTAAGGGAGGAGCAGTCTCACTGCACCACATCCTTTGATGGTCACAATGAATTTAAGTTCTATACCAAAGAAAGTGTAAAAAAATATTTATACAATTAAATCATCATTATCAACTTAATTATTTATAAGATAATAACAAATAACTGATAATTTTTTCTTATAATAATGCTAACGTTCAAGCTATTTTGCATGCAACTTGACTAATTTATCTAATACCTATCAATTAGTATCTCGCAATACCACTGGTCAAAAATAACTCTACCACGAAATCAAACTATATAGCAAAATCATCAAAAACATATTCTTCCCTATGAAGAGCAAAAACCAAATAAAACTATATAGAGAATTATATAATTGACTGCGTACAATAAACCTTTGTGATCATCGGGTTGCCCTTTTTATATAATTGATGGACGAGGGGTCTCCCAGACACCAATCGTACACGTGAACCACACTACCATGAGTCACAGAGCACCAGCCACTAGGGGAAGCTCGAATGGCTCGATTGACCTCACCATCCCTTGATGGCCAGCTTGTTACTGACTGCACCAACCGGAGCCTATTGCCATCAAATGGACCGCACTTAGCTGACCAGATATGATCCAAAAGGCCATAATATAGAGCAGGGGTGTTCATAAAAAATCCGAAAAATCGAACCAAACCGAAAACCAAACCAAATCGATCAAAAAAATCAATACTTTTTGATTTGATTTGGTTTTGGTTTTGAAATTTAAAAACCGATCAAATTTGGTTTGGTTTTGGTTTTAATAAAAAAAAAACCGAACCAAACCTAATATAGGAGTAACTATTTTAAATTTAGAATTACACCTATATATATGTATACTTTTATACAAAGTTTCAAAATTTAGTAAATGTTAATCGTTTGCACTTTTAGTACAGTTCTTTACCTTTACATTCTAGTTTGATTGGTAGTTTTCTTTTGTTAAGTGTAAGAATCTATTTCATGTTAAAAATAATATATTTTTAATTGAGTCCTTAAATTATTCATCACTATTTGATTCAATTATCATCAATATATCTTGGTAAATAATAGATTTCTCAAAGGGCAATTAATTTGATAGTGTTACGTTAAAAATGTGGTCGCCGAAATATGTGTTTGGTAGTGTATGTCTTATATTTAAGAAAAAAATCGAAAAGTAACCGAAAAAACCGACATAAACCGAATCGAGAAAAAACCGACTTAATTGGTTTGGTTTGGTTCTAATATTTGGAAAACCGACTTACTTGATTTGGTTTCTTTTTAGAGAAAAACCGATCCAAACCGAACCATGAACACCCCTAATATAGAGCCTCTCTGTATAGGAGGTTTTTATCGATCTTGGGAGGAATATAAAGCTCCCTTGTTCTGAGTAGGCCAAGAAGGACAGCAAAATAATTAGGATTTCTATCAATGAAGTGTTCATTGGTTACGGCATCAGAATGCAGGCTCCAATTCTCATCAAACATGGCTCCAAAGAATGAATTCTTGCCTGCACTCGCTAAGGTTGTGGCCGTAGTTTCAAAGATTCTGCCACCAACATTGAGTTTCACCCTATCTTTCTGGCTTTTCATTGTTCAGAAATGTTGTTTTACTCAGATATTCAAATCAATACTAATGTAAGAGATCTGTTTACATAACAAATTCAGGCTCAATAACAATCACAACTAACATCAGCATTATTATTCATGCGACTTATACTAATGTAATTTCTTCATGTTGATAGTAGAAGTATTAAAAAAATTGATGTAACCACTAACCAATGGTACAACTATATGGTCACCTCAAGAATAAATTTGCTATTTATGATCCTTTTGAATTTCTTTTTCGTGTTTGGCTAAAATATCTCCTTTTTTATGTTACCAATATGTTGTACAATATTAGTTGCAGTATGAATAAAAAGGGTTGCTGGTATATAAGGTATTTCGCGTTCACACAGGGTCCGGGGAAGGGTCGCACCCCAAGAGGTGTGATGTAGACAGCCTATTCTAATGCAAGCATTAGTGGCTGCTTCTACGGCTCGAACCCATGACCTGTGTGACCCATAGTTGCGGTATGAATATTGATCCTAAAATCAGTTCTTTAAAGTTCCCTTTTTAATTCTCTTCTCTTACAGTTGTTTTTTCGAATATTGGAACATTCGGAAGCTCGAAAATATATATATATATATATATATATATATATATATATATATATATTATGGAATGATAAAATAGTACAAAAATTACATACCGGACTGAGAGCTTTTTACTTTTACGGTGAAAACTTACCCGCTGTAATTATTAACTCTAGATTTTTGTTATCATATTAGGCTTGGTGTGAAGGGTTTAACTCATACACCAACGTGTAAAACTTTTTTACACTAGGTTAACCTCAATATATAAAAAATGTGATATTCGTAATCTTGAAAATAAGACAATATGTATGCTGCAAGATGTAAAGGTAACTTAATTAATAGCATAAAAGTTCTTTACACGGGTGTATAATTAATTTGTTTTAAAAATTGCTCCATTTATTTCAATTTATATGATGTATTTTCTTTTTTAGTTTGTCCTAAGAATTATATTTCTATATTGAGAAATAATTTAACTTTAAGTTTCTTATTTTACCCTTAATAAGATGATTTATTGGTATACAAGTATCTATAACTCGTTTTAGACTACAAGTTTTAAAAATCTTGCTGTCACGGCCCAAAATTCCCACCTTCGGGACCGTGATGGCGCCTAACATTTCACTTGCTAGGCAAGCCAATGTAAAATAATATTAGCCACTTTTAAACCATTTTCATTTAATTAATAACAAAGAAACAATTGCGGAAATAAAATTATTAATCCATAATAATAGCAATGTCTAAAATCATCCCAGAACTGGTGTCACAAGTACACGAGCTACTAGAATAATACAAATAAAGGTCCGAACGAAAATAAAGTTGTCTGAAAGAAAATACACAGCCAAGATAAGTAGAAGGGGACTCAAAGCTGCGAACGTCGTGCAGCTATACCTCAAGTCTCCTGTGGATAGCTGAATCCGAGCAAATCTACTGTGCGCCGCTAGAATCAACTCTGGTATCTGCACAAGAAGTGCAGAGTGTAGTATGAGTACAACCGACTCCATGTACCCAATAAGTGCCGAGCCTAACCTCGACGAAGTAGTGACAAGGCTAAGGCGGGTCACTTACATTAACATGTACGCAATATTAATAATAACAATAATAGGAAAACAGGAATAGAAATTAAACGGGTAAATCATTTCAGCAATCGAGTCAACTCGGTAGTCATAACCAATTATTATTTCGATCAATTTCCGTTGCAGCGTGCAACCCGATCCCACAATATATTCATATTCAATTCTGTTGCGGTGTGCAACCTGATCCTCAATATATTCATTTTTAATTCCGTTGCGGCGTGCAACCCGATCCTCAATGTATTCATTTTCACTTAATTTTGTTGCGGTGTGCAACCCGATCCTCAATATATCTTTTCAATCAATTCTGTTGCGACGTGCACCCCGCTCCTCCAATATATTAACTTTTATTTCTGTTGCGGCGTGCAACCCGCTCCTCAAATAATATAATTTACCAATCCTTATTAAAAAAAATTAATCCAATAATTGCAGCAATTAATATGGAATTATATGGCAAATAAGCATACAATAATTACGATTTATTTAGGAAACAAGTAACATGTAGCAATTAATTGTGGAATTAGGGAGGAAATATACAATTTAATACTTAATATGTTAAATGTCAAGTAACAATTAAGTCACATAAATCAATTAAGCATGTATCAATCAAGCATGGATTTAAGGCATAATATTGAGCAAGGAATATGAGAGAGATAATTAATATAACAATTAATTCATGATTTAAACAATTTATGTTTTTCAGAAAATTATGCAAACAATTAATTTGACGACGTATAGGCACTCGTCACCTTGCCTATACGTTGTATACATGGAATTCACATAACAAATAATTCAAGGGTTCTATTCCCTCAAGTCAAGGTTAACCACGACACTTACCTCGCTTTGCAACCAAATTCAAGATTCCAATAAACCTTTGCCTCGTGAATTCGTGTTCGAAGGCTTCAAATCTAGTCCCAAACAATTCAATATACTCAACACAAATCGTAGGAATTAATTCCATATGAATTTACTAACTTTCATATGGGATTATATGGCAAATAAGCATACAATAATTACAATTTATTTAGGAAACAAGTAATGACATGTAGCAATTAATTGTGGAATTAGAGAGGAAATATGCAATTTAATACTTAATATGTTAAATGTCAAGTAACAATTAAGTCACATAAATCAATTAAGCATGTATCAATCAAGCATGGATTTAAGGCATAATATTGAGCAAGGAATATGAGAGAGATAATTAATATAACAATTAATTCATGATTTAAACAATTTATGTTTTTCAGAAAATTATGCAAACAATTAATTTGACGACGTATAGGCACTCGTCACCTTGCCTATACGTTGTATACATGGAATTCACATAACAAA